TTACGCATTACTGGTTGAAAGTTAAAACCCCTCAAAACACCAAAACATTCTGTTTGTTTGAAATAGAAAACAGATTTAATAAAAGAATTTCTTTGTTTTGAGGAATACTCAGAAAACTCCGTTAACACAATTACAATTACATGGTAACCAAAGTTCCTTTATTTTTCATTAAGGATCAAAAATCTAAAAATAACAAAAGTAACCAGAATGGATGAAATGCGTATTTCTACTAAGCACCAATCAGGGAAAAAAAAAAATAACAAAAGTAATAAGAATGGACGAAATGCGTATTTCTACTAAACACCAATCTGAGAACAATAAAAGGAACAAGAAATAGTGGAATACATACCTAGAGAGAGAAAACCGGAGAGAGTGAGAGAATCGTGTCTAGAGAGAGAGTAAGAGTAAAGGCCTGTAATAGAGTTATGCGTTGCTGCCTTGAGAGAGAGAGAGTACAGTGAGTGAGACGGCTCACGGATTGCAGAATTTGAGAGAGTTGCTGCCTTGAGAGAGAGAGAGAGAGAGAGAGAGCACAGTGAGTGGGCAGGGAGAGACGGTTCACGGATTGCAGAATTTGAGAGACCGATGGTTGAGGGTTTCATGCATCGTCAGAAGACAGTATGCTCCCGCGGGTACAATTTCGTCGAAAGACTGTCCTCCCGCGGGTAGATGCGGTATTACCCATAGTTAGCAAATCACCATTTAATCGACCTCGGCGTTATTATGGAAACAGTTTTAAACGGCAACTATTTGAAAAGGTCAGCAAAAAATCATGTAGTTTTCATAAAAACGTTTAAAACGCGCTTTTTTCATAATACGATTTAAATCAGGCCAAAAAAATCGTATCTTTTTTACCTGCAGTTTGTTTTGTGAAAGATAATTTTTTTTCCCTGTCTTGTGTATTGCAGCCATTGCTAATTTCATGCTTTTGAAAAAAAATTATTATTTCAAAAAACAAAACCTAAAATATAAATTTTTATCCCCACTGTGTTCTTCAAAGCCACAGTTGCATATTCAAGGTATGAATTTTTTTTTCCCTTTTTTTAAAAAAACTTAAACAAATAGATGTAAATTTCAGCTGTTATTATGGAAAATCATTGTGTAAATGAAATACTTTTTATAGCAAATCATTTTGTAAAGTAAATCTTTGTGTAAAGAAAATCATATACTTGCAGATTTCTGTGATTATTTGTGATAATTGTTTTTATGAAAATACTGTTTATGGCACAAATTAGAGCTCAAAACATAGTCTTTTACTGATGAATGAGAAGCATTACTGATGAATGAGAACCACAGAGTGTGACTACAGGACCAAGTAATCAATAATTTGTTTTTGATTATGTGATAACAAAGATAAACAATATAATGTAAACTGTAAACTTACAGGAGCAAGCAATTGTACATATAGGATTAGTTCCCCAAACCTAATCCTTCAGCTCTGCTTGTTGTTTCCCCAAGAAAATGAAAAGCCCTCTTCCTTTTCTCTCTCTAAAAATTAGTTAGGGCCCCTTCACAAATCAGTATAGTTAGGGCTTTCTCTCAAACAACATCCCAAATTAGATAGAAAAATCATCTTCAAACTATCTCAAATCAGCATCCTATCTTCCTTTTCTCTCTCTAAAAATCAGTTAGTGCCTCTTCCATTAGGGTTTGTGAAGCCGATGACCACTTCCTTCTTCCTTCTCTCTTCTCTCTCTATAAACCCTAATGGCTATTAGCCAGCACTATTTTCTTCTCTTCCTTCTTCCTTCTTCTCTCTATATACAGTAAACACAGAGATGCGAAACCCGAATTTCTACTTGCCTCTTTTCAATTAAATAAATTTATAAAACTTTAACCATAGTTATGGAGTGACCATGGTCACCATACCATAGTTAGAGTATTTACTGAATAAATTTATATAGTATATTTGTTTTTGGTATGTAATAAGTAGGTGTGATGTTTTTTTAAGGCCTGTTTGATAACTGGAAGTAAGAACATGAACTGGAAATTGGAAGTTACTGAAGAATTATAAATTAGTAGTTCCTGAAGAAGTTCCTAGTTTTTGTGTTTGATAACATCCCCGAGAAGTTAAGAAGTTCCGGGTTTCTGTGTTTGATAACCTCCTGGGAAGTTAAGAAGTTCCTGGTTTCTATGTTTGATACCCTCCTGGGAAATTAAAAAATAACTGGGTATCTGTATTGGATTAGCTTAAGTAAAAAAGAACTGGGTATCTGTATTGGATTAACTTAAGTAATAGGCAAGATGTAAATGTTAAAATTGAGATATAGATATTATTTATTTTTTATTAATTTGTAGAATATAATTTTTTGGAATACAATATCAATTGAAAGTAAAGTACAATATTATTTTTTGTAATAACTTGAGCACTACTTATATTCACTACTGATGCATCCATATCCCAACCTAAAAATATACGTCATTCAACAATAACCTATAATAGTTTATACATACATAATTGAAAATGCAAGCACTAAGAAATCAGCCCATTCAAACACACATGCACAATGCAAGCAATAAGAAATCAGCCCATTCAACAATCACCTATAATAACTTGAGCACTACTTACATTTACCACTGATGCATCTATATCCCAACCTAAAAAATATATCTCATTCAACAATAAACCACTTGTCCCTTGAAACATTTGTGCGCTCTCGCTCTCTCTATCTAAGATTATAATGGCACACAACATTTATATGTTATCTATTAAGGCATTTGTGATGCATGTCAAGCAACATTCACAATTCATGCATCCATATATAACCATGTACAAAACCAGCCCATTCAACAATAACCTGTAATAGTTTAAACATACATAATTGAAAATGCAAGCACTAATAAATCAGCCCATTCGAACACACATGCATAATGCAAGCAGTAAGAAATCAGTCCATTCAACAATCACCTGTAATAACTTGAGCACTACTTACATTCACCACTGATGTTCAACAATAATTTGTAATAGTTTAAACATACATAATTGAAAATGCAATTGAATGAACACAACAGTTCAACAATAACTTGTAATAGTTTAAACATACATAATTGAAAATGCAAGCACTAAGAAATCAGTCCATTCAAACACATGTGGTGGTGAAGGAAAATCATAGAAAAAAACCATAAACCCATTGGAGGAATAGAAGATGACAGACGTGGAACCAAAGCCCCTGTCAATGGCTTCGACTCTGGCTACACCATTCACAGTTGTGTGTACAAGCTTGTTTACACTACTCTCAACAGTGGCACCACGTAAAGCATCGACCATTCCATGGCTATGGAGTCATCCAGAAAATGCTTTATTACTACAGTGGTTCGGGAAATCGAATGAGGGCAGATCTTTTAGAACACAACCACCAGTTGTTCTCTATTAAATATTAAGTGTACCGGAGGAAAGTTGCAACTGATGCATTTAAGTTCTATAAAAGCAAAAGTCGTCATCAACCTTATTAATCATGTTTTGAAAAGCAATATCCGTTGGTCACTGAATATTAGTTGTATAGGACCGAAAAGAATATTGGAATCTATTGCCAGTACCAACTGAATTACTGGAAGAAAGAATTTATGAACAAAGAATACATACCATACAAGAAGAAATGGACAAGAATAAGTAAATATATAGCAAAATACATGAAGCAACAACAGTCAGTTACTTGGGTATCAATCACCCATTAGAGAAAGCAACAGTATCATAAGGAAACCGGCACAAATGATTTCTCAGGTTTAATAAATGGCATGTGCATGAATCAGAAACTTCAGCTCAAGGCAAGGAAAAAAAACTCGTGGCTACTAGTAAATCATTGCAATGAAAAATCATTCATACATAGCATGCAATTTCCATAGAAGATTAGTCCAAAACCACCAATGGTGACTATCAAACAAACATGATCATGGATTATAAAAGCTTAGCTGAAGCTGCTGAATCAACATTCAAAAAAGTAAAATTTGCCACTCATGAACAATAAAGGAGACCCCTTGACCTCCAAAATACTTCAAGGAAAAGTAAATGCACATGGCACACTAAATACCCAAACAGAAAACCAGAAGAATGTCAAATAACCCAGAAATTACACAAGGTTCAAAATTGTCAAAACTTCAATTGACAGTAAAACCTAACTGACCCTGACAAGTTAATTCCCTAAACAACTCTTTCCAATTATCCAACAAAACAATAACAATATATATATATATATATATATATATACACATATTAGTAAACTAAAAATTATTTAA